CGAAGAACTGAAGCAAAACACTAAGAGGGAAGCGCGAAGAAGAAAGAATGTATGGCTGGTGAAGGGTTTTTTTTAAAAAAATCCTATCCTAATGATGCCTCTGCCATTCTCGGGAAGAGGTTAGCTGTCATGTCAACAGTCACGTTCCACCGCCCTGTGGGACGTAACCCTTGACATTCTTTCGGGAGTGGCAAGATGTTGAGCCACAAAATCTAGGGTTTGGGCCCATGGGCCCAAATGGTGGCTGACTAGTCGAAGCCTGAGGGGTTCGGAGGGTTAACAATTTGGTGGGTTAGCGTTCGGGTTCGTTTGGGCCGATAGCCCACTGAGTTTGGAGGCAAGAACCAATTGGACACTTGTTCTGCAAATCGGTTGGTCCGGAGGCGGTTAATATTCGGGTGCTCGGGACGGGTTCTACCATGGCGGTTGGGCAGTTGCGGTTTTTCGAATGATTACTGTACAAACCAAAGCAAAACCGCCTAAACTTAAATGAAACCACCCAAAAAGATTGCGCCTGTTCGGAATGTATATATCATGGATTTTTCATTTGAATAAGGACACTTAATTCTCTCAACACAAAATTTTTAGACTTTTTATTCCGTTTCATATTTTGTTTTTCTTTTATGTATTTGGCTTTAGTATTATCTAATTTAGTGCTTAGGGATTCATACATGATCTCAGACACAACTCATCAAATTCGAAATCTATTTTCGAATTTTACTCTTTTTTTTGTTGTATTTCTCAAGGCAACAATATTAAATAATTTTTTCCATTCACAATTTTACTACTCCTAAGTTAACAAATAATAACAAATTTCTCACTACGTTTTTAACTTATGCAAGGATATGATATATTTATCAATTTTTTAATTAATTTTCATAATACTTTTATTTTTTCCTTTATCTTATTTTTATATTAAAGTATCATTGTTTTTTAATCATTATGTAAAAAATGACATAATTATCGTAGATATATTTGTCTTTCACTTTTTGAAATTTTTATTATTACTCCCTTGTCCAGGAACATTATACTGTAACTTTTGTAGGAGACCATGACTATATGCAATGCAGAATTCATTTATGCATTCTCCAAGTCTTCACTCTCCGTCATATTGTGTCACATCAAATTAAAAACTCTTGAGTGTGTGTTTGTTTGGAGGATTGCATTAGATGTCCACTATTCATCTCATTTTTTCCTCCTAAAAATATCAAATCAAACACCTATTTTTTATTTTTTATATTATACTAAAAATTAATTTTACATTCAAAATATCACATCAACACCTATTTATATCACATCATACAACTATTCAAATTCAAAATTTTTACTATTCAAATCCCAACTCAAAATCCAAACCCTCAAGCAAACACACCTGCGCTAACATTGTAAAATTGAATTTCATGTTACCCGAATTTCTATTTCATTCATATCAATAAATTTATTATTTTATTTACTATGAATGTTATATTAATATTTTTAATATTACCCTGTTCGGCTCTCATGGCCACATCTATTTTTTATATATTGATTTTTTTAATACTAATTATCATATTAAAACATAATACAAATTAAAAGGAAATGACAAAAATACTTTTATTAGTATATTATAATAATAATGTAATGAAATTTATACAAACAATTATACAAATATAAAGATATTTTTAATGTTGAATGTAAGTAAGAAAAATGTAAATATAACCATTAGATGCGAACAGATGGAGTATAATTTATTATTTATACATTATAATATTTTTATTTAATAAAATATTTTTAATAATAAAATTATTTATTTTTAAAAATAAAATATATAATTTTATATTTAATTTAATATTTAATTTTATATATTAGATAAAAAATATAATTATATACTCCCTTCGTCCCAAATCAAATGGTCGTTTGAGTTTTATAGTATATTAAGATATAATAGAAGTATTTTATTAGTTAATATAAGTATGGAAGGGTTTTTATATTTTTGTCACTTTACTTTATGTATAAAGTAATTGTATGTATAGTTATATTTTGTAATTTAAGCAAAAAATAATGGTATTTTGGTATTATTGTATGATTACTTTTTCCGAAATAGAAAATATATACTTTAAAGTGAATAGACATAATGATAAAAATATTACTTTGAATTAAGATGAATGTAGTATAATTATAATTATGATGACTGTTCATTTTATATATGGTTGGATGAATATAATTTTTATGTTATATGTGGACAATTATATAGATAATTTTTAAATTTAGGTTCTAGAGTTTTATTTTTTAAATTTAGTTTCTCATGTGGCAATGCAACATACCTAGGGGTGGGCACGGTTCGATTATTTGCAAATACGCAGATATTTGATATTCGAATCAAAACAAACAAATACCCAAAATTGCAAATCGTATCCGAACTGAGTTTTCGATTAACCGAAAATATTTGCAGTATTTGCGAATAACTCGAACCGAATCGAAATTACGAAAAAATATATGAAAATATAATTAAAATTCTAATTAAATAAAAAATATTTCAAATATCCGAAACGAAATCGAATCGAATATAATTATTAATATAAATTTTAAAATATAATAACATAAATATATAAATATATTCGGTATGGTTAACCGAACTGAAAAAAATATAAGAACCTGAAATCAAACCGAACCGAACAAATATTAAATATGTAGTATTTCTATTCGAATCAAATTTGTTCGATTAACCAAAAATTCGGTTCAGTTCGGTTCAACGGTTCAGTTTGATTTTTTTGTCTACTCCTATACATAGGACAAGGCCCGTTCTACAATACGAGAAAATTGTTCTAAGAAGTAATGATATATTAATTTTAAAGTAGAGTAGATAAAAATTAAAATGGAGATATTATAAAAAAAAATATTAAAAAATTGATAAAAAAAATAGTTAGATAAATAAAATAAAATAGTGAAAATTTGATTATTATTTATTAATATAAGGATAAGAAAATTATATATATTGATGGATAAAATTGTTTACAGAATATGTATAGGTTTAGCAGACATCATAAAAAATAGTAAAAATAATTTTAACAAGACAGAAAAATACTTATCAGGAATTGTGAATGTGTTACCTTAAATTATGAAAATATTATTGAAATATTTAATTTTTGTTTTTAGATTTACTGTGAAAAATATATATATTTATTAAAAAATAAGAATTTTTTTCTTTTTGAAATGATATACATAAATGTTAAAATAAAAAAGTTGGTCTGATTTTGCATTATTTTTTAAGAATAATAGTCTATCTATATTTTTTGAAAAAATATATATTTTTATAAATAAAAAAATATATTTTTATTATTTTAAAATTTTACAATTCAAATAATAAACATTAGATTCAAATCTCAAAAGAAAGTAATAATGATTATACATTGAGAAAAATGAAACAAATTAAATCCCAAATAAATAGAGCTATACCATGCCAAGGAAACCATCACTTTCCCCTTTTTCATTTCTTACTCTTCGAAAAGTTAAAGTTCTTGTGGTCCAAGAAGGATTCAATTATTTCTTCTTTCGTCGCTATCTGGGGAATTATTGCCACGTCATTTATTTAGGGAGTTTTTAATTATAGTTATTTTAGACACGTGTGTTAATAACTAGTTATGTTTTCTTCTTCGAATATTATTAGTTATTGTGGCTAGTTTAATTTGTGTAGTACATCGTACTCCCTATGTCCCGTATTTGTTTGTTTTATTGATTTTTATACGAAATTTTACAAATATTTGCATTATATTGAGATGTGTAAAAATAAAAATAGAAAATACTAAACTAAACTTATTAGCATTGCATGATATAAAGTTAATGACATTTATGTAACATATTATAAATTTGAAGAATATTTCTAATGTTAGATAGATAGTACAATTACTTAAAAATATATATATAGATACTTTGTTATAGGACCAACCAAAATAAATAGATTATTAAGAGAGAGAATTAGAAATCCGTTATTTTTCTTTTCTTTTTCTAGTTACGTTAAATATTTAGTATCACAATAACAATTCTATCTGTTTAGATAATATTAAATTTTAAATAAATAGAAAAGATAATAAAATATTTTATTATTAATAATATAGTAATAAATAATAAGTAGTTATAAAATATTTATTGTATATAAAAATCTGTATATTCTTAATCTCACAAGAATTGGACAAAATCGGTCAGAGAATGACCAAAGGTTTCCTAAGACACTCTATAAAGCATCTAGGTGATATTTCATCTATGCGAAGTAGGATTTAGCGAACAATTCACCGATAGAAAAAAAAAAAAAAAACAAGAAAAAGACTTAGAAATAGAATTTCATTAAAATTAGAAAAGAAAGTACAAGCAGAATCGAAAGAAAAACGATAAAGAAAGCAGATAAGTGTTCAAAAAAAATAAAATACTTAAACGTAAAAAACTTGAGATAAAATGTTGAAAATATTGTATTGGTCAAGAACTCTTCTTACTACAAAAAACAATCGCAAGTTACGACGGAATTATTCCGTCGCAACTTGATATTTTTCCGTTGCAAATTTACATTGTGATGGATTTTACATCGAAATGGAAACCATCGTAAATATTTGGTTGCAACTCCGAAACGACGATATTGAGGTTCCATCGCAAAAAATTACAACAATATTGCAAGTGAATAATCTCTTGTTAATGTTGTCGCAACATTAGAGAATATTGCAATGCATTTCTTCTGTTGCTAATTCCGTCGCAATATTAGAGAATATTACAATGCATTAATTATGTTGCTAATTCCGTCGCAAAATCTCTATTATTATTCAATCCTTTAGCTTATTTTTATCTCTGCTATTCCAAAAATTTATATAGCTATATTAATTCAACCCTCCACGATAAATCAATTGAAAATCTCAATTAATAATTCTCGTCAAATATGCAAAAATTAAATGAAACTGGATACAAATTTTTGATCTAAAAAGAATCTAATGAACTACATACATTATAATATAAACAAAATGTATTTAGCAATGATGTTGAAAACAAAGAACATCCCATGTTAAAATTTCATGCAAAACTGATGACATATCCCAACAACAACTAAATTACAACATAACGAAGCAATTGCATTAATGAGAAAAGAAAAATGATAATAATAAGCTATGTGATACATGCCTTTTGCACAAAAGCATTAAGTTTGGTTTCACAAGTACTGCATTTTTTATACTGTTTCATCAGGGATCCATTTAAATTAAACACCCAATAAAGTTGGTATTTGAAGTACCTATTGCTCTTTGAAGGCTATGACTTAGGACGAATCTTATGCATAATAATCACAAAACATCATGGAACTCGGTTATGTTCTGCCCATCTCAATCTGCATTTTTAGACAAGAAAATAATTTAATGAGCTGCTGGTTTTCGGGAATGTTAGCAATTTAGGCGCGTAGTAGAAGTCACTCACAACAAGCTCAAAGTCTTCGGACATGCCCATTTAAAGCTCACATTGCTCTTCTGCTATCCCCAGTGCCTTGTAAACATCACTCTGATAATTTGCTAATGTCTGAGAATCACCCAACAATGAAATCTCAATAACAATTGAGAATTGGATCATGACAAACAATCACTACCTCCTTCAGCCAAGTTCAAAACAATGCCGAACAAAGAAAAAGAGAACAACCAACACTATCTCCTTCAATACTTTGTTAGTTTGACGAGTTTCCACTAGAAACTATAAAAGAAGACTATGGAGAACAAACAATGCATCACTTTATTCTATTTACAGCTTCATATTCCAAATCCGAAGAGATGATAGTCTGTAAGTTATATAAGGCCCAACATGTTCTTTGCACAACACAAAAATACTACTTTAAATTATAAAAACATCCTACACGTTATTATTGAACATATTATTATTATCAGTATTATTATTATATTAAGCAGACTTGGGCAGACAGACGTATGTAGAGATAAAATAAGAATACAGAAAGAAACATACCAAAAAATTAATTAATAGTTCTAGTTAATTAAGATCCCAAAAATATCTAAAAGTGATGAGAAACATGGGAAGCACAAAAAATGGACACAAAATATATCTACTCTCTCATCACAGATTTAGTCTCTGGCAGTCTCAATCATTTAAAAAAAATAGTGATATGATGTGCTCTGACTGAGGGTGGATTCTTTCATGCATACATAGACACACACACATACACCAAATTATAGTAGTGGTAGTAGTAATAATCTGGAATGAAATAATTACGCGAAGAAGACAGGGAAAGATTTATTTTACCTGTCCTGCAAAGACCATATCTCTTAAACAAGCATGCTAAATAGAATCACTACGCCTTTACCATCAAACACTCACACCTCCAACTTGATGTCTCTGGACATATGACAGGTAAGCAAATAAAGAATTAGAATGAAAATTTTATTCACCGGTAAGCACAAGACATTTATTCAAATAAATCATCGCTGCTCCGCTCACACATAAGTCAGAAAACCACAACTAGAAATCCAAATAAAAATGCGAGAAATATTTTTCATGTAAAATTAATTAGTATTAAGCATATAGTGATCAATAGACATCTAGAATTAAACTAATAGCCATGCAGAAATATTTCATGGTTTTTGTTTGCATGTATTTTAAAAATATTTCAATCAAGTATATATTTCTAATTCAATTTTTAATTATATGCTTATATATATCTTAACCATGATCCACCATCATTATGATAATGATTGTTCTCCATTTTGCACACAAACAAATGTTCTATAATATGTATGCATTTCCCCATTCTAGAATATTGAAACAGTATGCTTAAATGGGTTCTATAACAGAAGCTAAAGACAAGACTAGAACACACATACGCGCACACACACATATAAATTCTACAAGCATTGAATACATAGGCAACACAATTCAATGCTTGGTTACAGCGAACACTTATCATCATGTTGCACAATTACCATTTAGCAGTCATTACGTAGGATATGTGCTCTTTCAATTATGTATGGAACAATTGATCACCTCTGGCTTCTTGTCTTGGGATTAGGAATATATTCCATTTAGGGAACTCAACAGAAATGGCATGGAATCTATAATCTTCGCTTGTCTGGATACCTGTAGTAGGATAACAAAAATAATAGAGCTTTCATCCTATGTACTTTCAATACCTATAAAAACTGCACAACGCAACACAATGTTATTAACTTTGTGATTAGTTTCGATTCCATTTTCCATAAGTGTGATTCCATTCACCAGCCATGTTCTCATCTCTCTTCCAGTCAGATTTGACCCATCGAGTTTCCCAATCGAGCAACACATTTCTGAAAATTAATTAAAAATAACTATTCGCCAGAGTTCTAACGTAGAAAATATTTTTATCTCCAGCGACAACTACAAGGAGAAAATTACATACTGAAATTTTGGTAGCAGAAGGAACCAACAAGCTAGTATTTGATCCATAGAATCAACTGAAATTGCAGTTGCAAAGTGAGATTGAACTAAACCTAATCGATTCAGCAAGGTCTAGCAAAACAGAGAACCTAATAAGCTAATGAAATTGTTACATTATGGGAAATTACAGAGCAAGCTTACTAATGAAACTGCATAGGCTTTTTCCCAAGCACAATTAAGCCTCCCAAGTCCCGGTCGCTGGTACAAAAACCTTAGAAATGATCGAACTCGATGTCAACGTTGAGGGGGTGGCTGGCGATAGATGTGTCTGCGTCGGTGGGAGAGTGCTACGCAATGATGTGTTTACCTCCGCGGGAGAGTGGCTGGTGCAATTAGAGGAAGTGGGAAATATTTTGCCCTAATGTGACGGTGCGCAAATGCATGACAGAATCCTTTGCAGAATTGCAACCGATCTGAATTATTCGTCGTATAAAAATTTTATTTTGGGGCAGAATATATTTCTTTATATTCAGCCATTCAATTCAGTCTAGGTAGCCATTTGTGACTGAATTTTTTTTTTTTTGCAAATTCTATTACTAAATTGCAATTGAGCACATTTTTTTGCAAAATCTCTTATTAAATTGTAACAATTTAATTTGTTGGTTGTAAAATTAATAGTTATTTTGCGATGGAACAATTTTTTTTGCGAATTTCATCACTAAAATGTGGCCATATTACAACTTCTTACATCCGTTTCAATATTTCATTGCAAAAATACTTAATTACAACGGATTAGAGCTATCCTTGCAATGTCCATCACAAAGTTGCGACGGAATGTGAACCCTCGCATAATTCCATCGCAATTTATGATTTTTTTTTGTAGTGTTTTGTCTCTATTCTTCAGCTAATATAGCTTCATGAGAGACGGTAACTTCACTTGTATTGATCACCCACTATTGTCATCATCATTGAACATCCTCAATTGATTGCATAACCGCTTAAACTCTTATATCTTAAATGACCACTATTTATAAAACCAACTTTCTTGATGATCATTGCATAATTTCCAAGCTTCTTGCAATAATTAGCTCGATTAACACTTGTAACCCCCATAACCTTTGAGTAGTCCTGTTTAATGAAATCTTCCACTACTTCTAACTTTTTAATTATTTGTATTTAATCCTCGTTCATATCCAAGGATGGATGTAGTAGGGAGCAACGGTAGTTAACCCAGCCCTTACATATATACTTTTTTAGTGTAAAATTAACAAAATTATGTATTTTGGATTAATTTATCTCCCCCTGGTCCCATTTTTTAATATTTTTTTTAGGCTAAAAGATAATTGATTTTTTTTTTTTGTGATTCTTTTGATTTGCGCTTCTATTTTTTATTTTTTATTTTTTATTTTAGTAAAAAATATTAAATTTTATATAGTTTTGTTGATTTTTTCTTTAAATATTTAATCTTTGCCCATCTTGTTTTCAATCTTCTATAAGTGGCTGCACCGGGAAAAGTAAAAAATATAACATTGAATCGATAAAACTAAACCGATATTTAGCTCCCTTGAAATTTTAAAATTGGTTCTATTACTCTTCATATCCAAGTAAAAACCAAAACTACAAGTTCATTGAATGTAATCTGTCATAATTGTCCCTATCCCTCTTCTTCCACAATGATTTCTGCAAGGCTGTAGATTTTCTGCAGTAGAATAGGCTTTCCAAACCAACTTTGGACCGCATCTTTACTAGGCTTGAGTTACTTGGGCTCAACTTCCTTATCTTGGTTCTCTTCTTCAACCTTTGGACTCAACTCTCTATTCGAGTCTCCGTCAAATTGGGTTTTTCCATCCATTTGGACTTTATTTCCTTATTTTTGGACTTTTTATAATTTATACTTTTGGGTCCAACAATATTATTTATTTGATAATTGATTTGATATATATTTTTGTTGCATATACTTCTACATTTGGTTTCGCTAGCTGCTCCCACTTTTAGTTATATTTTTCATTATTTTTTTGTTCCCTATGGTTAAAGCCGTCACTTTCGTCTTTTTTTTCTCAACGAGTTTTTTGAATTCACTTCGAAGTTACACCTTTTGCATGGTTAGAACTATTGCTTTTCTTCTTAAAACCTTAAAAGTTACTTTCGGGAGTGAAAAGTTCTCAGTCATCATTTGCCCTTTAGCATATTTGAGCATCCATTCTTCTTCTTCTAGACCACCTTCTGGAGTCAAAAAATATTCAATGATTTCCTACCAGTCAACATATTTAGTCTATGCAACAAATTTTAGCAATCTCTTCCTTCTGATAAGATAGCTCCTTGAGCCGGTCTTTCCACTTTCGGACAACCTGGACGTCATCAATCATCCGGCTGTAAATTGGCCTTTGTGCGGATCGCATCCCTAAAAGATAAAATTGTATCCTCCCAACTTTTATAATCATCCACCTCAACAGTCTCCAATTTATCGTCACTCATAATCTTCCAGAATGTCCCCAAAGCTTCTTTATCGATCAAAAGTTGCCTATAGCCCAGCCATCCCAAAAAAAAAAACAACAAGAAAAATTGGTTTCAAATATCGTGTGGCCTCCTTGGTACGCTTCCTAAAGATCACATCCTCCATATTGTTCTCCGATTGATCCACTGATTCCTTAACCCATAATACTATACTAGAATTCTTGATCATCACATTCTCTTGGCAGAATTTAGGTTGAGTTGATAGTACGCTACATTCTTGCAGTATGAACTCAATAATCTTAACTAGAAAACTATTGTGGTACTCTAATACTTTCTCGATGTCCTTTTCCGCCACTAAAATTGTGACACCCCAACCCACAAGCCACGTAAAGTCGGGTATGTCGAAATTGTAGATTGGCTCAACAGGTCAACACAAGTTTTCTCAGCACACTTCTGTCCTCACTCACGCGCACCGTGAGAGACTTCTCAGTGGGTCACCCATCCTCAAATTACTCTAGAGCAAGCACACATAACTCTAAAGTTCTTTCAGTAGGACTTCCGAAAAAATGTGCATATTGTGGACATGAGTAGTCTATTCAATCTATTTAACCTATAATCAACTTCGGATGGTTTTGGCCAATTAATGGCCCAACTCCAGGGTCTATCACATCCTCCCCCAGTTAAGAATGCAACGTCCATGTTGCACCCCAAGGATAGTCAATTGCTAGGCCCTTCACCAGTCCGATTAATGACACTGGGCTATCACAGGTCGGCTCTGATACCAACTGTGACACTCCGACCCGCATGCCACGCAAAGTCAGACATGTCGGGATTATAGACTGGCCCCACAAGTCAACACAAGTTCTTCCAGTGCGCTTATGTCCGCACTCACGCACACCTGAAAGACTTCCCAGGGGGTCACCCATCCTCAAATTACTTTAGAGCAAACACGCTTAACTCTAGTGTTCTTTCAGTAGGGTTTTTGAAAATAAATGTGCACATTATTGACATAAGTAGTCTATTCAATAAATTTAACCTATAATAAACTTTGGATGGCCTAATACCTGCCCATCCGCACATGGGAGTTGGCCAATCAATGGCCAAACTCCGAGAGTATTACAAAAATAGTAAAAGAGACTTCGAATTCCTCATCATCATCCAGAGCTCCAACTTTAATCTCATTTTCCAGTACCTTAGTGATGAAGGATTCTATAAAAGAGTTCAAATTGGATCTAAAAGAATTTTCTTTTAGAACACCTCTGTCCCTCAACTTCTTTGACTTTCTGAATTCTTTTTCTGCCACTAAAAGAATTTTTAGGAAGAAATGTCTCTCAATATGCTTTTTCTTCTGGCCTTCTTGAACATTTTATGTCGGTAAGCCTTGGGAAAGAACATCTGATATTGGAAAGTTAGGAGTGGCTAATGAAAGTATCTTTTGGATCGTGTTTTTTTATGTTGATTGCTGGTGGCGGAATTTCACCTTGCACTTGAGGTTTTTGCACTTTTAGGTTAGAGAAACGAGACAACTCTTTTTGGGAAGCCTGTTTGGTATTAGAAAATTAAGAGGGACTTGGACGAAGTCAAAAAGATAATGGCTTACTTTGGAAAATGCATAATTGAATACCTTATAGTATTCTCGCATCTTGGGGAAATGGGCGGTACTCTCTAATTCGATCTGGAATAGGCCATTAGCATGACGGCTTTGCAAGTATTGTAAGAGCATCTATGAAAGCTCTTGCAGGATTTATTGGCATATCTTTTTTACTGCTTTTGTGGTTGATCTACCACCCACGGAACTTGTTGAATTATTTCTGCAGCATGGTGTTTTTTCATAGAAGAGGGACAATATTCGCCATTTTCTGGATATGGCAGATTTTCCACTGGTTGTGGCAGAATCCTACCCTAAAGATCATATCTGCCACCTGATGAATGTAATGGATTTTCCATCAAAAGTAGCAGAATTCCGTTCACTGAACCCTGAAAAGCATGTTCTCCTCCTGTTGGATGTGGCGGGTTTTCCCTTTGAAGTCACGGATTTCCTTTTAGAAGCATATGATTCGGCTATTGTTACTCCGCCTAGCCGATTAGCTGGAATTAGTTAATCCACTAAAATATACAGGACTAGATTCAGGCTGAAATCTCTAGATGTACGTACTGGTGGCGTATATGGAGTCATTGTAGTTGCCACTCTATCCACAGTCACTTGCCCCCAGAAGTTCAATAATATGAAAGGGGAATGTAGGGTTGTTGACTCCAAGGCATCTAGTTCTCCCAAACTCTTGGAGGAATAATGCTTGAAGTATTTTCTCTCGAGGCGACTGGGGTGTGTTTGTTTGTGGGTTTGGGTTTTTGGGTTTGGATTTTTTAATAGTAAAAAGTTTAATTTGAATAGTTTTTTGATGTGATATAAATATATATTGATGTGATATTTTGAATGTAAAATAAATTTGTAGTATAATATAAATAAAAGTAATTGATTGATTTGATATTTTTAGAGGGAAAAGAAAATCTGAATAGTAAAAACCTTTTGAGAAAACCACAAAAGAACACAACTCTTATTCTTTAGCCGAACTGTACAACCAACTTGCCCTTTAGTGGATTGGACAATTTGGGAAGCAATGCCATTGAACAATTTGGCTCTTCCTAGTGGAGGAAAACTTGTTTTTCTGCTGGACTTTGCGACGAACTTGCCTCCAAGCAGGTAAGGAGGTTTAAAGCCATATTTTTATACGATTCAGCTTCCTCAAATTGAGAAATATTCATTGGATATCCTGCCGACGTACTATCTCCATATTATAACTAATTCTCCAAAGAAAGCGAATAGTGTCTTCGAATTTGATGAAACTAAAGCTAGACACGAAACAATTATAGTCCCACTAGGCATGCCAATTTGTTGTATACAGAAATTCGTAAATTCTTAGTCTCACAACAGTTTGACAAAACTGATCAAAGAATGACGAAGGGTTCTCTAAGGCACTCTAGAAAGCCCTTAGGTGATATTTTATGTTTGAAAAAATA